GGTCAATCTTGGTGGGAAAACCAAGATTGCCAGCAATCTTGGTCCATTTGCCCCACTCGGCCCACTTGCTCGCCGACTAGTTTGCCTGGTGGAGGGAAGATTGCAAGATTTCTGGCAATCTTGCCCCCCCCCCCCCACCCCAAGTGGGGCAAGCAGGACAAGACCGCAAGATTGTTGGCAATCTTGCAAAAATAATTGTCCTATTTTCCCGGCACACTGACTAGTACTACTGCTACTGCTACTGCTACCACTGGTGTTTTACGACTGGCCACCCCGGCCTCCTAGCAACTGCGCTTACCAAATTCGGGCGGGGCAGTGGGCAGCTTCTAGGCTCCCTAGCTATGACAGAGGCAGAAATTTCAGGGGCACAGGTTTCTATCCACCACCCCGCCCCCAATCCCCACATCCCACACACCCTCCAAAATCTCAAGCTCGAGTTTGCAAAGTCGGCAACTAGTTTTGAGGCAGCAAAAAGACGTGGTAGGACAACAGGAAAGCACATGGAAAGCACCACTGTAAATACCGAGTAAGCTAGATATGCTGCTAAATGCGGGGGCTGCTGCTGCTACTACTCCTATTACTGCTGCGGCTGCTGCTGCTACTACTACGACGACGACGACTACTGCTACTACCACTACTTCGACGACGACGACTACTACTTGTACTGCTACGACTACGACTACAACGACAATTACTGCAACAGAAAACACTAGCACTACAGCGGTGAATAACCAGGCAGTCAGGCTGACAATGCAACGAAAAGCCTGCGGTGTGAGCGGCTTACTAGTTATGGCGATCAATTATTGCAGCGAGAGATGTGCCTGCAGACGGAACCGGGTTCAAGTATCTGATCGTGCGGTGTTGCACGTAGTTGAACATAGTAGACGGATGCTGCGACGCATTTGGGTGCGCACTATCAGCGCTGCCTCGTCCGATGGTCTGCATTGTGCTCGACAAGTCTTGACGCCGCAGGTCACGTATGATTCTGCCAGATGGTCCTTTGCGAAGGGATCAGGGGCTGCTGCTGCAGCATTCGCCACGGCCGCCACGGCGTTCA